GATTTTTTCTAAACTCCACATTCTATTTGTGCCCCGCCGCTTGCCGGCCACTACTACTCATTGCAATATTGATCCGGCTTATAGGGATGAGTAAGCACAGTCGGGATCTCCTATTCAATTGGGCGTGCCAAAGTGGTTTAAAATATTTCCCTTATGTTCCAACTGGGAAGGTTAGACCGTGAACGTCGAACAGGAAGCGCCGACTTCGTTGGTAGGGACCTTGTAAAATACATATTTGATTGCAGCCCACCTTCGTCATATTTTCTCTCTCAAGTTCAATCAACTTGCGGCGGCAGCCTAACCTTGAGAGTGTGACGTTTTCTGAGCGCCATTGGTATTGCTAGTGACCACTGTGAAGCCCCGAAGAAGATACAAGTGACAGAAGGAACAAAATCGGAATCCTGCTATCTGGAATATGGATGGAAGCTGTGCTGACCGCGAGTGTTCGTACGCGCCGGGCCAGCCCCACCAGCGTTCATCATGGCCATGCGACCGAAGCCCGGGTTGATGCCAGCCATCCCAGGCCTCATACCCGTCATACCCATAGCGCCCATTCCCGTTCCAGTCCCGCCTATGGCCCCATACCCACGCGCATCCCGCCCATACCCATGTTGCCCATCCCGTTCATCCCGTTCATCCCGTTCATGCCGCCACCCATCATGTTCATGCCGCCCATTCCCGTCATCGGATTGAATCCGTTCATGCCCATGCCCATGCCCATGCCCATACCCATCATCGCCATCGGATTCATATTCATTCCCATCATCGGCATCCCGCCGCCCCCATCATGGGAGCCTGCCCCATCTGCCGCTGGTACATCATCGACATCTGCTGTTGCGGATTCGCAAAAGACATGCCCTGTGATGGCGTCCTCGAGTCTCTGTCATTGAACATCGAGGGGTCTCGACCGTTGGCAGCATTCATCCGTCCCTGGTCACGCTGACTGCGCGGCTGCGCCATTTTGACTTCAATCTGAGGCGGACGTGAGCCAAAAGTGAGAAAAAAGATAACACTGATATCAAGTCCAGCACCTCTTTGTCGTCAATTGTCAGACCGAGCTTGCCCACCAACTGATCGGCATTAGTCGCGTCCTCGAATGTGACGAATCCAAAGCCTTTTGACCGTGAAGATTCCCGGTCGACCATCACCGTTGCATCGACGACCTTGCCGTCTAAAAGTCGGAGGTTAAGCAAGATCATCGAAAAGGAAGTCGGATACTTGCATGTGCTGAAAAACTCCTTCATCGACTCGGAGGTCGTCACTGGCGACAGTCCTCCGACGAAGTAGCGCGTATTCCGCAGGTGCTCTTCCCGAGGAATTGCACGCTTGGGATCAATCTGTACTACCGTAAGTCTGAGGTTCCACCCGCTTCGACATTCAGCTCACCGCTTTTCCATCCAAAACGTGTTCGCGGCCTAGCACGGCAGCTACGGATACCGGATCTTCAAAGGTCATGAAGGCGAAGCCACGCGATGTCCCAGCGGGGTCGCGCATGATGGTGCAGGCATCGACCTTCCTTGATGCATGAGGAACGCCTGGGACGCGGGGAAAAACACTACCTTGCCAAATTCGGAGAAATAGTTCCTTAGACCTTCTGTTCGAGGAGAGCGCAGAAACAGCGGTTGTGATTAGCTACATAGAATGGGTTGGATATAAGAACACGAATACCATCTGTTGTGTCCCAGTTAAGTCCGCCAATAAACATTTTGCTATATGGTCCATAGGTGTGGAGCAGAGACAGAGCACAGAGTGAAGGCAACGTATAACAAAGTGTAGGCGAGAGAGGTGGACCAAACCAAAGGTGGATACGAGTATTAGTATCGGCTGAGATAGGCGCGCAGAAGACAAGAAAGACCGCGAATAACGAGGTAACGTAACGGGTAAACTTGTGTCTGGCCAGGATATGTGGTAGAGGTAGCTATAGCGTATGCCACTTTCGCTCTCGCGGACGTATGACAAATCAATGTGGTATAGAAGAGCAGACTTACCCAGCGTCATGCATTTCAGAAGGCTTCTTGCCGAAAACGGTGTCCTCCGAAGAAGGGATGAAAGTCGGGGTGGCATGTGTTGGAATGGCTGAAGTCACCTGGACACGCGATACCAGCGACACATCCGGTCGTTGTTGCCGCTCCTGGCTAGGCGTCTGTTGATATGCGGAGAATTGCTGGGCGATTTGCGCAGAGTACGACAAAGAGGCGGCATTGGCGCATTTTGCTGCTGCTGTGAAGATGAAGCTGTCATCGAAGGAGGGCCCGGTTTGGCAGGCAGGTTGTGGTGGGTTTCATGTTTTACGACTGGTGCTGGTGCGGGTGGCGCAGGGTTGGATTCGTTGGGTGTTATCGCGTTGTGGTACCCTCCCCGAGAGCGGCAGATTCATTGTCGTCGTCGCCATAGATGTCTGGAAAATGAGTGGTTGCGTTAGCAAAGGCACAAAGTAAAAAGCCAGTCCTTGCCTCCGTAGAGGTCGTCGATGGCAGCCTTGGACATGGTACGAGTGCAAGGTCGACAGTCAATCACATGTGGCTGTGCCGACCATATGACCTGAATTGAATTTCAATTTCAAAAGGTACCGACAACGGGAAAAAAAATCCTTGCGTAGATGAAGATGGTCGTTGAGCCTCTAGTAGTACATGGACCCTACGTATCGTCGTAATTGTAGAATTACTAGCTCCAAAGGCCGTCCGTGTCAAGGTCCACGTCCCAGGTCGACACGACGCGGCGTCAACTGGCGTGTTTAATTGCCTCCTGGCAAGTCAAGTGACTGGTTCATGCTGAGAATGACGGGAACCTCATTGCAGCGGATAGAGGTGGAACGTTTCGCCAAGGGAGAGTCGGGCTTATGCTACCCAATCCCGGGTATCAGAAGGGAATCCAGCTGAGCTTGTAAAACTTTTGCCGCCTTCAACTCCCCCTCAAAGGGCTCTGCACAGCGGTCTTTGGCAAACCCAATTTCAAGGCGCCCGTAGCCCGGTCGGCTGTGCATCACCTGTGAGGCTAGAATGGCAGAGCGTATGTCGGTATATGAGACGGTCGCACTTTGCCTTTTTTGCATGTTTGATTAGACAGAAAAGGAGAGGAGAGAAAGGAGGACATACGTTGCTTCGGAGACTGAAACGTGCTCGACCTGTCCGTAGCACTGGCAATCTCTCCATAGTGCATCCTTGTTCAGAACCTTGCCGCCTACATGCAGGGCCCGCGAACAGCCCAATCGGGAGTTGTGATATACTTGGGCCACCAACGGCGGTGAATTCCTCTTGAATCGGGGAACGAGGCGCTTGTTTTGAAGGTTGATGCCATGGTATAACGCATATCGATGGAAAGACAACGCCGATGAGTGCTCTAAAAAATGCACAAACTTGGTTGTACGGTAAACTGCTTGGCCGACCTCAAAGGCACGCTTCAAGGACGTACAGCAACCCCGCGCTCCGGGAGGAATGTTATGTTCTCCAACGCTCCTCCTTTGATTTGGTCACAAATATCCGTGACTGACGTTCCCGGGGGTGTACCATCCAAGGAGATAGTCCTTGAGCGGTTTCTGATTGCCACAGACCTGGCATTTCCGGCAGCCAAGCAGCGATCTTCGCCAATCTTCACGTCGACGTTATTCTGGCGCAGATCGCTCTCCGCCTGCGGAGGTCAACAAAGTAGCAAACAAGTAGCGGCGGGGACTGTCACACGCACCCAGGCGGCGGCGGCGACGTCCATGAAATCGACAAAAGCACAAGGACGCCCGTCTTCAAAGCGGCGTACACGTTCAACCAGCCCATATTGGCCCAAACGCGCCTCCATCTGGTCGTCTGGCCCCAGCTGGCCAGTAGCGGGGAGGTACAGTGCACGGGATGATATGAGGCGAGTAGGCAAAGGCCCGTCTCCCCACTGGGCCACGAGGCGGGCGCCGCGTACAAACAGCTTGTTTGTAATTGCTTCACGGTAAAACGCGGTGGCCGTATCGTGCACGAAGAAAGTAAGGGCGATGACGCGGGATCCGGCGCTGACTTTGTCTTCGATGGAAAACAACGGACCGTAGAGCACGATATCGATGACTTCACTTATGCGGGCATCTTGGGGAACGCCGTGAATGCACACGGTGGTCGGTAAGGCTCGCTCGGCGGTCCAGTCGCAGCCGTTATCCCACTCTGACCGTTGAACGTTTTGCCAGGTACCAGCAGGAGTATTTCGGTACTGGATTCGGGGCGGACCACCTCTGGGAAGGGAAGATATCGCGCGGCGGTGAGGTACACGAAGGAAACATCGCGAGAGGCGCGTAGCCAGGCTTGAAAAGTTCATGTATAGTGACGGTGCTCATCGGGTCAACATGTGACAATACCCCATATAGGAACCAACTTACCCTTCTCAGACGCGCTCCAAGTCCCTTCCCGCCGCACTCTAAATGGCAATACTCGGGGCTTCGAACAGTACATGACTCAAGCACAATTACCCACTTCCTGTGCAGGACCCAAATTTCGAGCCATACGAGAAGGAGAAAAAAGAGAGAAAAATTGAGGACTGAGAGATTCAAACTCCCAACTCACCCGTACACTAATTCTCTGCGCGTATGCAGCCTGAGCCAGGTGTTTTCAGCAGGTCGCTTCCACGCGGCGCGTGTCACTACTACACCAAGTCATCCTTGTTTTCTCCCCTATGATGTGAATATATGTCATTTAATTCGAGTATCCGACCGTCGGCGCGGTCGAACTGCCATGGAACTCCTTCCTTGCTCCCCCTCGCCCATGAGTCCGACTGCACCAAGGCCGACGTATTCCCATAATATTTCGTTCGACGTTTTTGGCCAAGTGGCCTGTACGCGATGAATGCAGGTAGGTCCAAATCTCAATATAATGCCATAAATATCTGCTAGACCATTAACTGACAAGATATTAGCATTTTCGCATTTCTGGTCCAAGCAACAGGCCTGGAGATACGCCTCTACTTACTATACGCGTCAAGCTTAAGGGCAGACCTAAGTACGATTCGTTTGGTTTTTCTGAGGAAAAAAAAAATGAGGACTGGGAGATTCGAACTCCCGACTCGCCCGTACGCTAATTCTCTGCGCGTATGCAGCCTAAACCAGGTGTTTTCGGCAGGTCGCTTCTACGCGGCGTGTGTTACCACTACACCAAGTCGTCCTTGCTTGTTTATTTTATTATTACGACTTTGTAGGCAATTCCACAGCGACAGACTTGGGCACGGACAAGCCGTGTACACTTCAAGCGGCACGACAGTGCCCTCTTCCCCGTGCCACCCAGGTTGCCTCACCGAGGGCATGGCCCAAGTCGGTCGAGGCGTCGACGTCCGATTAGGTGAGCCTGCGTCGGCGCGACGGGCTGCTGGGTGAGTATTTTTAGATTGCCAAATGTTAGGAAACAGAGACATTCTTGGGCGCGCCGACAGTCCGTAGAGAGAGATGAAAAGGAAGAGGATCATATTAATGCGAGTGCGGGCACCGTCGTCGGTCTGAGAACAGTTGGTGATTTGCTAGTGAAAGAAGATGACATGGGAGGTGAGCGTGGCGGCAGCGTCGGGCCGGGCCGAGGCGAGTTGATGACACATCTGTCTGTTTTGTGTCTGCGACGATGAGCAACCGACGTTGCTGCAGACGCTGCTGGGGCGGCCGTCGCAGCACTATGTCCTGTCGCCACCCAAGGACTACCACTCCAACCGCCAGTCCATGCTGCGCATCGCCGCCGAGCTCGCTGCTGCTGACGCGCACGCCACCGCCAACTTGAATACCCATGTGCCAGAACCAGTACGTCATGTCTATTCTTCCTATTCATCACTAATCCGTCCACACGCCCAGCCGGCCCACGACGACGACATGGACGTCTTCTATACCCCCAACACGTCCCCCCGCACCTCCGTCGCCTCAGACACGTCCATGACAATCACCACCCCGCCAACCTCCGACGCCGACCATGCGTTATATACCGACCAGGACTGGGCAAAAGACGTAAAGTGGCTCGTCGATCCCCCTTCTGCCGCCGCCCCCATTATCCTGCAAAAAACCAAGCGCGTGCCTCCACCGGCACCGCGGACGACGCGTTCCCCAACCCCGAGCATCATGATGAGCATGACCGCCCTGCTCGAGGAAGACGAGGATGCGCCGTCAATCACGTCCCCTCGAAGCAGCGTGCTCATATCTGGCCCGGCTCCTCTGTCCTCTCCACCGCGCACGTCCACTCATGCACACCGCCGCACCCGCTCCCACGGCACCACCACAACCTCCTCCTACGAATCTTGCGCACCACACATCCTCCCTCCGGGGCCTCCAGAGCTGCCCTCATACGGCACCCCCGGCTACACCTCCCTCATCCTCCCCCCTGCCCCGCCCACCTAGGCCTCGCCCGCAGCGTGTCCCTTACCCAACGCCTGCGCTCCTCTCTGCGTCGCGAGCGTGTCGACCTCTCCCGCACAGGCCTCGCACAGACCACCATGGCCTCCGTCGAGGTCGTCAGTGGCCTCGCCGCCCGTCCCGTTCCCCGTACGCCGGCGCACCCCACCTCGCCTTCACCCACTACCGCCCCCCGCCCCGCAACCTGCCCAAGAACGCCGTCCTCGTGCAAGTCTGGGCCGTCGCTCTCGACGCCGTCGACCAGCGCCTCCTCGGCGGCGGCCCCGCCGCCGACGCCCTCCCGCGCGGTGCACGTGTGGAGCGCACGCGCAGTCGTACCCAGAGCCTCGGCCGCCTCGTCGGCCGCAGGCTCAGCCGCCGCGCGGCCTCAGACGTCGGCCCGTCCGATGGCGACGCGTCTCCGCCGCAAGCCGCCGCTCAGGTCGGCTTCGTCCCCGGCCGCAGCTTCGTCGGCCGCGTGCTCGAGTGCGGCTGGGAGGTGCGTGAAGAGGTAGCAAAGCGCGGCGAGTGGGTCGTCGGGCTGCTGGATGTACGGCGTGTGCGTTTTGTCTCTCTCTTCATCAATCTGTCGTGTGTTCATCAGTAATCTACAGAGCGGCGCCCTCGCGGAGTTCATCACCGTCGACCGGCATCGCATCCACCGCGTCCCGCACCCACGCACGGAGGGTGACTCCCACACGTCCTCCGCTCTTCTTCTTCCCCCTCGCCTGCACCCTTGTCCGCGCCGTCGTCGCGCTCATCCTCCCCGTCGCCGTACCACCCTCACACGAACCAGGACACGCCGTACCCGCGCCCGTCCTCTGTCTCCTTCTCCCCCGAGTCCCTCGCGCGCCCCCCTTCTTCCGCGTCCTCGCACGCACACCACCGCTCAGCTTCTTCCAACTCCTCGCACCGCAACATGAAACGCACGCGCCAGCCGCCGCCGCCGCCTCCCACGCTGACGCTCGCGGAGCTCGCACGTCTCCCGTTGTGTGGTGTCGCAGCGCACCGCGCCGTGCGCACCCTCACGCGGGGTGCCGCGGACGGGGAGGGGGCGAATGGGGCAGGGCCGGGGAACAGGGTGCGGAGGCGCGCGCTGGTACTGCGTGGGCACGATGGCATCGGCGGGCTCGCGGCGCGCATGCTCGTGCGTGCGGGGTGGCGCGTGTGCGTGCACGCGCCGTCGGCGCCGTTTTCCTCTTCCACCTCGACCTCCGACGAGGAGGAGCACATGCGCCGGGTGCAGGCGCGTGTGCGCGCGTGGGGCGTGGAGGAGGTCGTGTTCGACGACGGGGGCGCGGACGAGGGCGGGCGCGGCGCGGCGGTGCGTGCCGTGGAGCGGCTGATCGCAGACGGGGACGCGTTCGATGCGGTGCTCGACACGGTGGGCGGGCGCGCGGTGTGGGACGCGGGGGAGCGGCTGCTTGCGCGCGGGGGCGGGGAGAAAGCGCAAACGGAGCCGCGGCCGAAGCAGTTCACGACGACGGTGGGCGACTGCCCCGCGCGGCCGGTGCCGACAGCAGCGGACAACTTCCGCGCGGGGCTGCGCGCGCTGCGCGGCAGCGCGGGTGATGACGGCAAAAGTGCCGGCAAAGGCAACAGCGGCGATAACAACAGAGAACGTGGCGCCAGTCGGGCGCACGTGGGGTATGCGTGGGTGAGCGCGGCGCAGGATGTGGACTGGGAGGGCGCGGATGTGCGCGGCGCGCTCGGGGCGCTGCTCGGCGCGGGGGTCGCGCTGTTCGCGGATGCGGATGGAGGGGAGGACGACACGCTGCCGTTCGAGCGCGCGCCGGAGGCGTTTGGCGCGGGGGTGGGCACGCGTATCGCGCTGGGGGGGAGCGTCGTTGTGAGGGTGGTGGGGTGATGTGCCGCCAGTGGGCGTGCGCAGAGGCCGTGCTTTTACTACGGCACGCAGAGGTTGCGGGACATTGCACCTACGGAACCGCGGGACATTATACATTATCACGCGGGGGTGGACTTTGTTCATTTACATATATCTCGCTGCATATTGTATGTATAAGAGGCCGCGCATGATACGCACGTAATTTACCACTATATACATGATTCGGATGTACTGTGTACAGTTACACAGTACAGCGTGGATATGGAATGAAGAGCCTGAGATGAGACCGAATGCCGTGAATCAATCAAATAGGGGAAGTCAAAACGGTCAGAGGGGACGGAATAGGACCCCTGATAATACCCTTGGATCCCAGATCCCGGTTCGGACAAAATTTCGTCGATTTGGACCTTAAACCTAGGTCCGTTTCGGACAAAAATGGGGGGTCCGACGACGACAGCCTAGGTCCCAGTTCGGACAAAATCTTCGGGCCCTGGGCACCTTCACCCGCGGGATCTGTGTTACCCTCGTAGCCTACTTGGTGTGGTTACTTGCTTTCCTTATCATGTAATATTTTCCGGTCTTTTTGCGCGTTCGAGCCCAGGCAAGCGCAATTTTTTACCTTCAATCCCCTTCCTTTTTCAGATTTATTTCAAGATTTATTTGCATTCAGACGGCGTAGCCACATAAATATAAATACCTTTTTTCGTCATCTTCTCGCACTCGCCGGGCGCTCAGAGTCAGCATGGCCACCATCGTGGTCGACAATGAAAAATAATTTATTGCGGACGACCCTTTCTCAATTCAATACCGCTATGACACTATTTAGAAAGCAGGGCAAAAAGGCGGCGGCGGCAGAGGGTGATTCTGGTGAGGAGGCAGAATAAATTCTTGGCACGGAACCAGGTGTTCTTTATACACTTTAGATTGTAAAAAACGCTTTTTTGGGGCGCCTGTAGGCCATATACGACGTGCGGAGCAAAAAAAACGGATTTTTGGAGGCTAGTACCAGTTCGGACAAAATTTGGCCCATCCGGACAAAATCTGTTCGGACAAAAATGGGCCGATGGGGTCTGGTCGGGATCTAGCCTCCAAAGGGATTATCAGGGGTCCTGACGGAATCGGTTTTCCGACCATAGTGCTGGGTCGCCGGAAGGGGAAAGTTGCGAAAAAGAATTCAAATAAGGAAAGAATGCGGGAAGTTCAGAGAGCTTCAAGGGGAACTCAAGAAGTCAAAATCTAATGTTTATGTACACATGATAAGTCCCCAAGCACTCTGGTTTCTCGGAAGTAAAGCTCCAACATGGCGACAAACTGACCCTGGGTAGTTTGGCATGTGCAGAAAACTTTGTGTTTGCAATTTGTCTGTCGCTGTTTTCTATGTGGTTGAGGATTCCCTGGCCCAACAGCCGGTGATGAAGCATCGGAAAACTCCAGTGCGCGGGCAAATCGAGAGGATGTGGTAGCTGTCATTGCCTTTCAAAACACGTTGCGGACTGGAAATGGTCTCGGGTCCAGCCTTACTCGATGGATGGCCCACTTCGGTGTACCTCGGGCTCGGGGAATGGCCTTCGAGCCCTTTAGGTGTCCCCGGCTCCCCCGTTTTGCCGAATTCTCTGGGTTTGAGATATTCACATGAATCAGGCAAGGCTTACTTATTGACGCGACAAAATTGTATATTTTGTGTCCTGAGGTGAGTAAATGTGTTGATCAGAAGCAGAAGATGTATAGAATGAGCACAGTCAACGATGACGGGCAGAATTCAGCGAAAGAGATGAGGATGTGCACATAATGCACATAACAAGCCGCCATCAGCCGGAGTGATGGCGATCAATTTTGACGTGGAGCGTTCGTGTTGCATGGCCTCTTGACACAATGGATATCGGAGATTTTTGGGCACGGATTGTATGTTTTGCCATTCATATTGACTATCCAAATTTTCAGAGGGATTATAG